TCGGGACTAGCTGGAGAGATTCTCCACGTCAGAGCTGCTACGCGCTTGGGAAAGGGAAGTTTGGGGTCCCCTGCTGGAGCTGATGCCCCCGCCACCCGGCCCCAGATAAGCGTTTGGAGACCAGAGAAATGCCATGAGAATTAGTGCGGTGGCCACTTTTTGAGCAGTTATCGGGACCCGGGGAGTCTGAATAGGCCTGCAGGGGGCGCGGCTCTTGGATGACATGAAAATAAAAACCCTAGTTAAGCAGTTTATATGTCATGGGCTTTTATTGTGAAAGGCGAGGATGGAAGGAGTAGATCTGGTACAAGTTGTCTGTTGAAGGCTTGAATGTGGTGTGTGGTCATGTGTGTAAACACGCACGCGCCCCCGTTCTCTCTCTCACACACACACGCGCTGATAAGGGATCTATCGATTTGTCTAACTGTGTGTTCACCCTTTGATTAACGCAGCCCTCCTGTTTCATTTGGTAAGTGATCATATATAACTGTTACACCCCCCCCCCCCCTTTCTTCCAACCCCTCATCTACACTCGTACATGATTAAAAAGAAAACGCACACAAAGAAGTTCTTACAGGCATGTAAGTGGCGACCTGCTACACGTGTTCCCCTGTCAGTCCATCAGTCTACGTCCTGGTTTGATCTACTCTGTGGCATGTGGAGGTGTGTGTGTGTGTGTGTGTGTGGGCGTGTGCAGAGACGACTGTGCAGGTTTGATGGTGCTCGTCCTCTGGTCCTGGCCGCCCCCCCCCCCCCCCCCCCCTCCCTTCTTGGGAAAAAAAAACGGAGGCATTGCTGTCTCACTCGGTCTTTGCTCACCTGCACGCACGTGTGTCTGGAAGTCTCCCGTTTTTTTCTGTGTGTTACTCCCGCAGTGAGACGAGGGGGCCTCGGGTAGTTGTGTTGGCGTGTCTCCGCAGAAGGAAACCCACGCACACTTGGATTCAAAGTGTTCCCGGGCGCTCGCTGCTTTTCAAATCCGTTTTTGTTTGGGTTGTTGTTGTGTTTTGAAAGGAAACCTGTCCTTGGAGTCCAGGTCGGGGAAGGAAATCGGTGAATGTAACCAGCGTTTTCTCCGTTTGATAACATGTGTGCCCTCGTATTCATTCCTTTGCTGTCCCCCCCCCCCCCCCTCCTCTCTCTGTGCAGAGCGGCGCCGAGTTGGAGTACCACTGGTAGCTGTCCAGCACCACTGCCTGATCCCACAGGAGCAGGACCACTTTTCCACACGAGATCACATTCATAGTCACTTTTAAAATTTCCTCTGGGATGTTTTTTTGTATTTTTTTGTATTTTTATTCCCCACACACCGAAATCAATCAAAGCAGTAATCCTGGATCTGAAACCAACAACACACCTGATGTGGAAGACTGCAAAAAATATTTAGTCTGTTCTTTTCGTAGAACAAATCAAGGATGGGGGGGATAAGAACAAGTGCGTAATTATCGGAAGGCAGAACTACATATATATAAATACCCAGTATGGGCTTAAGAGAGGGAACAGCCACGTTTCTCTTGCCCTTTTTTTTGTGACTTTCTTGTTTTGGTCAGGAGGGAGGAGCCTTGTTTGTTTCTTCAGACCGAAAGGGACAGAAGGGAGCCCGTCACGGGTCCCTCGGCGATGTTTCTTAGGAACCGGAAGGGCAAAAGGAGAAAAAAAAGGGTGGGTGGGCGGCATTTATTTTGGCCATTATTTGTTTTGGCAGTGTGGCCAGCAATTCGACCCACAGCAACACCTTGGAGTCCCCAGGGTTTCCGGGGGACGCGTTCCAGTTCAGCCGGCCCGGGGGGGGGGGGGGGGCGCAACAACCTACCCGCCTGTGCACCCGGCGGCCGAGCACAACTCCTGGTTTTGAAACGTCACACCGGCCGAACACTTGAGTCAAACTCGCCGATTCATCACCTGAGGCGACACGCCCGAGCACAAGAGGAGCTCTGAGTGGGGGGGGGGTCCGGGTCCTCCCCCCTGCGTCCAGACTCTGTCTCTTCTCTTCCTCTGTCCCTTCGTATAACAGGAGATACACGGCTGTCATTTGCACTGGCGAGCCTCGTGTATAAGAGATAGAAAGCTAGTTATATATTAAATTCATATTCATATATATATATAAAAATATATTTTGATCCGTTTCATCTTAGTTCCCACCCGTGGTGTTAGTTGTGGTCTTGTGTGTGTGTGTGTGTGTGTGTGTGTGTGTGTGTGCAGACAAAACAGAAGTTGGACACACAGCAGCGTTCCAAAGACAGGTTTTGGGGATAAAGAAATTCCAGCCTCACCTTCCTCCTCCTCCTCCTCCTCGACACACACGCAACCCTGCTTGTGCCACAGCTTGCCTTTCTATCTATCAAATGCCTTTCTTTTGTTGTTTGACTCTTTCTTTGATGCTTTTGGTGTATATGGCATTTTACAGTAGTGAGCTCCTCTGATGAGAAAACAACACGGGCAGCATGAAACGGACCTCGGACGCTGGCGCAGGCTTTTGGTGTTTGACTCTAGGAAGCAACGGAGACACTGAAGGGACAAACAAGAACTGCCCCCTACCCGCCAAGAGCTGTGTTCCACATTGTCGCCAAAATTGCAGTTCTTCATCTCCCCCCCTCCCTTACAGCTCCTTCATGGAAGCGCCGGTTTGACTCTGTTCCATGGACCAGCAGTCCGTTTCATTCCCCTCAACCCGATGATCAATAAGTGATGATACGAATATATATTTCAGAAGAGGCCTCCTCTTTTCGGTCTGTCTGAAACCAATGTGGGCATTGACAAAGTGGATACACATACTTTGCATGTGCATTGTTTTTTTTTCTTCCTGTCGGTGCATTTACATTCGGCTATAAGTACATACAAACTGTAATATACACTTTCTTTCTTTTTTAATCATTCATTCGTGCATTCTGACGTGGTAGTGTGGAGAGACAATAGGCCCGACCCAGTTTGCTGGCTGATTAATGTTCTTGTGGTACACTTGCTCTTGATGCCATATGACAAATAGGTACTTGGACTGTGTGTAGTTCTTTTGCAGTTGTTTTAATGGGATGATTGATTGTTCTCTGTTTGTGGCGGAGGGACTGGGACCTCTACTTGTGCATGTTTTGTGATTGAGGGAGGAGTGTGTGTAGTGTGTGAGATGTACTGGGGGGGCTGTGGGCGTGTTCAGTGTGGTGAACACGTACATAGTGTACTGGAACATGTAGCAGGGTATTATGCATCATTCTCAGAGCAAAACCCCCAAATAGTTGCTGGTTTTCACTGCGTCTGATGTTTCGTTGTCACTGTGGACTCCCACTCGCTTCCTGACGCGTTAACGGCCAATTAGGTTTCACCACACTGAACAGACCATTCTTTAATTGTTTTAGGTTTATGTTTAAGCTGAATCAGACACTGGGCTAGGAAAGAAATTAAGGGCGAGAAGGAGGAAGATTCTTTTTTTTTATTTTTTATGTATCCCATTAATTCCCACTCGATTCCACTGCATGGACAGACTACAAGCAGCACTGAAGCGTCAAAGCAGCTTCTCATCAGTCATTTAATGACTAAACCTCGAGTTTCTCCCTTCGTTTTGAAGGAAAGGAACTACCTGAGAATCATTTTTGTTGTGGAAGATAATATTAAGACTAACAGGAAGACCTCCCGCGTTTTCTAAACCAGTACTTGGTGATCGTTTGACCCTTTTCAGCTTTCATTTTATTTCAAGCTACGCAAGAGAGAATTCAGTCTCCAGGACACGTGGTTGTCGTGGTCGGCTCGGGTTGAGTGTAGCGCGAGGGCGCCAGAAGGGAGGCGGGATGTTTGATACGACTACTACGCAGCAGGAGGCAGACAGGACGTCCCTCATGTGGGCTTCTGAGGGCGCAAATGAACCGTAGCACCCTTTGCCACATCCTTCTGTCGTGCCCGTTCACTCTTTGTATACATATTGTTAGAGTTGACAGATTTTTTTGATGGTAATGATAAATTCCGCACTTGTTTTTTTGTTTTATTTATTCCAATGCTTTTTAGCTCTTCTAAAGAAAAGCTGTGTTTTGAAGGCAGAATAAGGTAGTGATGATCTGGTGTGCATTTCAGAGTATTGTGTGACCCACTCAGCTTCAGGTTTATAGGACACCATCCCTCCTTCCTGTTCTAACTTCCCAATATGCTATTGTGATGTTACAGACCAATACAGTGAACATAAACGTCAATAAAAGATGGATTTAAGTTTCAAATGCTTCCGAGGGTTTTATTTCAGTGTGGCAACTTCAAATGTGGTCTGTGTGTATTTTTGCTGGCTTCCCCAGTCCAGTACTACACAATAGAGGGTAGTACTCAGTGCCAGAGTACGCAAAAATGCTTCTCAAAGAAGAAAATGTACCATGTAGCTCAGAAAATAATGCATAAGTATTTTCCCCAGGGCCTGCATGTACACGATGCATTTACTCAGCTTAAAGTATAATTTACTATAGTCGCCTTGTAGTTTGCCACAGCGTTGCCTATTTAAAATTGAACCTACTAAAACGATAAGAGGCCCATCTCTTGTTCTGCATGTATGTTTGACAATTAGACTTTTCTAAATGTGTTACAAACCTGACAATTTAAATCTGGATTCCCTTGTTGGGGTCAACACGACGCGTGGCAAAGTATAATTGAGATATTCCCATCGAGTTTGACGCATACGGATGAGGCTCAACATTTCACCAACTTTGGGGATCATTTGGTTAATATCAAAGCTTAAAGAAGGGTGTGCTGCCGTATATGAATGTAATAGATACCCTAATACATCAACTATGCATTCATTCACCAAGTTTGGTGAAAATCCCAATGAACTCTCCTCGAGACTGGAGAGATATCCCCTAATATTCGCGCATGCGTAGGAGGACAAACAGGTTCCAAGAGAAAATACTGGGGAAAACACATTTAAGATATCACACAATAACAATACCATTCACGTGATGCGATGCAGTGACGTTGGTATTACTTCTAACAGGTTTACCTCAAGCGTTCCTCTCACTCCTGAAGGGAACGAGCACTTCTCCTATTCCTCATCTCCGTCACCACCGCAAACTAAGCAACCTAATCTCCACCCGCTGACCATCCACCCTGCGGCTCCCCGCATTCCTCAGGTAGCTGCGCGCGTGCGTGGGAGAAAGAGGAGCGCGGATTGCCCTCTGGCCTCGAGGCAAGGAACATTGCGTAATCTCTCCTCCTCGAGTCACTCCGACCTCCCGGAGAAGGAGCGCAGCGCAACACGGTCCGACGGTCAGAGGATGCAGGTCGGAGGAGACTCCGGCGGCATGGAGCTGGGGGACGGCAGCCTGAACCCGGGCTTCCGGGACGTGGACGGCGGGTCAGCGGCGGAGGACCCCGGGAAGGAGAAGCGCGACCCGGAGTACGCGCAGATCAAGCCGTACGCCGGGATGCCCAAGGAGGTGCTGCTGCTGCACTCCTGCAAGGCCCGGTACCGGGTGCCCCGGGAGATCCTCTTCTGGCTGATGGTGGCGTGCACCCTGGCGCTGGTGGCGCTCACCGTCACGGTGATCGCGCTGTCCCCGCGGTGCATGAACTGGTGGCAGGTGTCCCCGGTGTACCAGGTGTATCTCCGGTCCTTTAAGGACTCCGACGGAGATGGGGTCGGAGACCTGAAAGGTAAGATTCTAAGATGAAGATGTGTCATCCATCCTCCTTTTTAGTATTTACTTCTTTGAAGTCACACTTGGAAGGTTTAGAATTTGGATTCACGAGGTCATTTTCACATGGAATAAGTTTGCTTGTTTGAATAATAGACAGGTTCAATTTTATAAAGCAAGTGTCAAAATCAGTTTATTAACGAGGCCTATTACTACATTATGCTAATTATTACCAAATAGAAAAGCAGAAGCAGATTTCACCCAAACACACTAAGCAAATCTCAGATTTGATGTCACTGCTAACAAAAACCTTATCGGTTGAACAATATACAATATATGTATAATATATACAATATACATGTTCTGCACATCTTTGGCAACATGTACTCTGGTACCCATCACTGTGGCGCCTGTCTGGCAGGAATTCAGAAGCAGCTGGAGCACTTCCAGTACCTGAACATCAAGTCAGTGTGGGTCAGTCCCTTCTACCGCTCTCCCTTGAGGGACTCTGGCTACGATGTGGAAGATTTCCGGGCCATCGACCCGCTCTTTGGAACCATGCAGGACTTTGAAAAGCTTCTGGCTGAAATGCACAGCAAAGGTGCGTTCTTTCGCTTCCCCATTGTGTGTGTGTGTGTGTGCGTGTGTGTGTGTGCAGGATCGACGGTGGGTCGACGTCTTCGACTCTCACAATGTCTCCTTGCCCACCAGGTTTGAAGCTGATCGTGGATCTCATTCCCAATCACACCAGCGACCGTCACCGCTGGTTCAACTTGAGCCGGACGGGAGATCCTCACTACAAGGATTACTACGTCTGGTCCGACTGCAACGGATCCGCACCGAGGCCTAATAACTGGGTTGGAATTGATTTTCACAGAACCTTCACTGAATGCATCATTGCATGTGAAACCCACCACCCCGCCATTGTCACACGCTCAGAGTAAATGTTTTGGAGATCTGATGATGTAGTATAATGACCGAGGGTGGATTGGTCAAATACGCGTTAAGGGGAAGTGTGTCACATGTTGGGAATGAGTATCGGGTACCATAAAGGTTTCTTAATGTCTGCCACGGTCTAACCCTCTTGACTCCGTTCTCCCTCCTCTCAGGTGAGTGTGTTTGGGAATTCGGCGTGGACTTACGATGACGTTAGAGGACAATGCTACCTGCACCAGTTCCTCAAAGAACAACCGGACCTGAACTTCAGAAACCCACATGTCCGCAAAGAGATGACTGTAAGAGCACACGGCTGCGCTTTGTCCCACACAGGATCTGTTGCTATTGACTCATTTCTATAAAGTTTTTTGGTTTTGGACTCGGAGGACGTAGCTCATACCGAGAGCTTCAGTGTTGTCCTCGTCCGTTATGTCTTCTCCACCTTTCCATAATTGGTAAATGAATCCGCAATTCTGTGTAATCTTTAGCTGGAATGATGCTCAACTCTTTACATATTAACTTGAGCTAGTACACACAGTTTTTAACTGCCAACAGACACAGCGCAAAGTACAGGCTATGCCGGTTTTTATTGTTCATTTATTCTTAAGAAAAGGGAAAAGTACAATTCTTACGATTATCAATAGACACTTAGAGTCTGACGTTCACAGAATTATCTCAATTAACTTTATACCGTATTTATGATCCCATTTCAGGATATAATTCATTTCTGGCTGGAGAAGGGAGTGGACGGGTTTCGGGTGGGTGCAGTGAATCGCCTCCTGGAGGCCGCACACTTGAGGGACGAACCGCAGGTGGACCCAAAGAAAGCACCGGTGAGCCCCCCCACACCCTCCAGTGATCGAATGTATTACATTTGATGAAGTGATGAGATGCTGTGTCCCAGGCTCCCTGTGAGATGGTCATTGGTATATATGTGTTCATATGGTCAGTCAGTAGGACCCGTGTGTGCATAACCTTTCGCTCCTGCTCTATTGCACTCATCACCGCAGAGCTCTTCTTCCTTTGAGCTCAAAGTTCAGCTTTAACAACCTGCGCCGTAAAATTCGGTCGTGCATTTTTATTGTGACTCGGTTTTATCTGATGATATGACGCGCGACATGCCCGAGTCCAGATTTTAACGATCTGAGGGACGAAAGCAGCACTGTGGGCAGAAGCGGTGCTCTCGTGTAGCTGGTACCACAAACACAACCAGCAGCTGAGTGGGGGAGTTCAGTGTTCGTGATGTAGCATTCGTTTATCTTTGGCTTAAATGTCAGGTTCATCTGGTGCCCTTCTGGAATTCAAAGGGGTCACGATTCACGCAGAGCTCACTGAAAAAAAACACTTTCTGTACCACGGAGACCGAAGTTCTTCTCGCACAGAGGGCGGATTAAAGAGGCAAAGCGGCATATTTTGGCGGATTAGCAAGTCATTGGGAATTAACTACCACTAGAGAATAAGTGACTCCAGTGCAGAATGAGTTGTTCTCACCGCCGCGTTTGACCGACTCATTTTGAACATCTCAGGCCGAGCGTTGCTTTATGGTGAACAAAACAAGCGCTCCTGTTGGGCAACAGATTGTCATGCGGTCTAAGCGGAACCACTAAACTGCAGTAAAGAGTCACAGCTGCGTGTTTATTGGCCATGGCAACTTTAACAAAGCCTTGGATGTGACCGACCAGCTATCAGTGTTCTCGTCATTGCTTTAGTGCCGCTTGTAGCTCTATATTCTGACCAGCTATGTGCTTCGCTGGCTGTGTGTTGAGCGGTTTGATCACGTGGCAGCATGTCGAAAGCTGCCGCCTCAGTAATTAAGTCTGTGAATAGATTTCCGACGTGGTTCTGTTCTGTGGGGAACTTTTTCGGTTGTTCCGGTGTTCACACACACAAAAACAAACACGCGTTTAGGAGTATTATTTCCTCGGAAAAGGTTATTCCGTCTCTGAAGCAGGTTGGCTTATCCTGGTAATCTAATGTTTTGCACCAGCCTGTGTTTACATTTGGAGAAGACAAAATAACTCTGGTTCCTAAACATCCCATAATCTACCAATAGCACTATTACCGAGCTCTGAAGGTTTGTTTTTAAATTACTTCTTCATTATTGAACCAAAATCCCGTCCTCTACTCTCGATCTTATTTTCCAACAGCCGGAGACTGACAAAGAAACCCGTTTACACTAAAGCTCTCATAACTGCGGGTGGGCCGAGGAGAACACAGGGGAGCTCTCTTGAGCCACTGTGGTGGATGATCCAATGGTGGCAGTGTTACAGTGAATGGACCACTGGAACCACAAACCAATTGATCCAATAGGCCCGACATTCAATAACAGCTACATTACCTCATATTTATCTATATTTACAACAAACCAGGAATCTGTGGCCTCCGTGTGGGACCTCCACCATGACTACACCACCAGTCAGCTGGGCCTTCATGACCTGCTGAGGGACTGGAGGGCTGAGATGCAGGCCTACAGCCGAGAGCCAGGCAGATACAGGTATTGGAGCCATTCACTGGTATTGTACAACTGACAACGCTCTTACCTACTTACGTTGCTACTATTTATAGTGATCATGGTGTCACGGTTGACATCATATGGCTGAGGATCAGATTGCATGCGATCAAACAAGTTCTTGATGCACTTCAGGTTCATGGTGACCGAGTCTTATGATTACCACGAGGTGGACAAGACCATGATGTACTATGGCACCTCGCTGGTTAAAGAAAGTGACTTCCCCTTCAACTTTTACCTGCTGGACCTGCCTCAGAACACCAGTGGCTTGTGGGTTAAACATCTGGTCCAGCTGTGGATGGCCAACATGCCCAAGGGACAATGGCCCAACTGGCTGGTGGGTCCTAACATCACCTTTCACTTCCATAGTGATAAACCCATCCTCTTCCACACTTTCCATGTATTTATCTTACACCCCCCCCCCGTGTTTCAAGGTTGGCAACCACGACCAGCCTCGAATTGCCTCCAGTGCCGGTCATACCTACATCCGTGCCATCAACATGCTGCTGCTGACCCTCCCCGGCACGCCCACCACCTACTATGGTGAGGAGATCGGCATGGAGAACAACAACGGCACAGACGGCCCGGCACGGGACCCAGCTGGCAAATACAATGCGGTCAGTACTGTTAATACACCGACAGACAAATGACTCGCTGTAACGTCGCGGCCATCGACATTTTAACAACAGAACGAGGGGAGGACTTATTACAGGTTGGTTTGTTGGCTTCATAGTAGAAGCTTAAGTGCTTCCTGTCCCCCCCCCTGCAGAGTGCCAGTCAGGACCCTCAGCGGTCTCCAATGCAGTGGAGTAGTGACATGAACGCAGGCTTCAACAACAAAACCAACACCACCTGGTTGCCTCTCCACCCTGATTACAGAAGCATCAATGTGAAGGTACAGAACAGTCCAAAGCTGAAGAAACATCTGGCTAGGGGCGCGTTCAACGTCTTATCTTATTTGACTTTCCCCTCCAGGCCCAGATGGAAGACGAGGGGTCTGTTCTGGCTCAGTACCGTTCCCTGAACACCCTGCGCCAGTCGGAGCTGCCCTTTCTGCGTGGCTGGTTCTGCTTCGTGCACGCCGATGCCAGCGTCTTCTCTTACCTCAGAGAGCTGGACGGGCTCAGCAGAGCTTTCCTCATGGTGCTGAACTTTGGGGGAGAACCGGCCGTCACGGATCTCTCCTCTGTTCCGGAGTTACCGGACCTGCTGACGGTGCAGATGAGCACAAACCGAAGCAACGACGACAAGGTGCTGCACAAGTCCCGGATCCCGACGGAGGCGGGAGAGGGCTTGGTGATTCAGTACACCACCAACACTCGGTTCCATCCCAACCACCCAGAGCAGTGCTACGTCTCTGAGAAGGCCTGCTACTTGAGTGCCGTTGACTTACTGTACCAATGCTGATATGAACGTCACTCACTTTATTCAAAGTTAACAGCCGCAATCGAATGATCAAGATTCTTTTTTCACGCCTCCTCGTTATGAGGTTGACGTGGTATAATAAAGAGAACCACTGCACATCCATTCACTGTCAATGTCATTAAACATTCATATTGGTTGTCATATTGGTAGATGTTTAGGTCGTTCTTGTTAGATTGTTAGCTGTGCTGCCTCTTCCTCCTGCGAGGAGCCCGCGGAGGATCCAGGCCGAGCTCTGCGTGGAGGAATGCTAGTGTGAGGGCTTCCTGTGAAGAGAAGAAAGATAAGAGGAGAAATGTTTCATTCCGTACAAAAAAACTCAACTAATTAAATAACTTAGTTCTCAAACTGGGAAAAGGGCTGGCCTCAATTTAAAATGCTAACTGAAAAGTGTGTATAGTTTGCGGCATGTGTATTTTCATTGGATTTAAGAGCAGTTGTCAGGAGGGAATAATGAATCAAATAGAACTGAGTCCATCTGAGAGCGCATTACCTCCTCCAGCATCAACTCAAAGTCCTCCGGCCCGTGGTGATTTGCTCCAGGTTGAACATTCAGAACTACGTTTGGTGCCGGTTCACTTTCTGAAAGAGCAAAGAAGACGGAGGTCAAAGGTCAAAAGCAAAACAAGGGACATTATTTAAAACGTCCTCCCCGTATCTCATTGAATGCCCACTTTCACTGCTCTCCTTTTCTGTCTAGTTGTCCCAAATCATCTCTCTCTCTCTCTCTCTCTCTCATTCATGACAACAGCTGATATTGCCCTCCCTCTTCTCAAATCCCACCAGATAAACGCCCCCCCTCCCTCCCTCCCCTCCCCTCCCCCGTCTCTGTGCTAGGGGCTGTTTCACAAGTGCGGTCTTGACCTTGACAGCTCCCAGTCTGTGGCGTCTAATCTCTTGCTCTGATACACTATCTCTTTACCATGCTAATGGGCCTGCCCACCCGCCTCCATGCATCTATGCCATCAGCACTTTATCAAAGACTCCGGAGAACAGAGAGACAGACAGATTAGGGAGGCATGTACACACATACACGTAAGCTGCCTGGTGTGTGCGTGTGTGTGTGTGTGTGTGGACAACAGGAAGGCGAGATGGTGAAAGAGAGACATGATGTGTGCATTTGAAACAAGAAGAGTGGAGGCAGTGCGAGACAGACAGAGGTGTAAAGAGGAGTACCACCAATGTGGTGTAGGCAGATTATAAGTGAGAGCGAGCAAGAGCCTCGTCTAGGGGGAAAGGAGAGCAATTAGCTGACACACACACACACACTAGTACAAGGTGACAGATGCTATACTTTGATCATGAACTTCGAATGTTTGCAGCTTCCCCAGACAGACAAACAGTTTCTGCTGCCTCTCCTGCAGACTGACACTACGGTTGACCCTGAACTATCAAAACCTTGGACAATGCAAAATACACACAAACACACATTTATCCAATAGCATGCTCTGCTGCACACATGTCCGTCTATGTGATCACCAAGTGATTATGCTGTTGTGACTGCATGTGTTCCCGTACCGGACTCTGGGTTCATGGTGAAGTGTGTGCGAAGCGCCTTTTTTAACAGCTCAGTGTACCGGAGGACGCCTGCCAGAGGAACCCTGGGATCATCGCTGTATGCCGTCAGAAGAATCGACGGGTAGCACTAGCTCACAGAATCACAGACGCACACGTGGTTATCTGTTAACATTATGGTGGATCTCTCAATACATATTTGATCAGAATAAAACCTTAAATCACATCATTAAATAATGAAAATAGCATTTCTCAAGCTAATGCAAAAGACTGCAGCTGCATTTTTCGGGGCTCCAAGGCCTTTCTCTCCATACCTGAGGGGTAATGTTCTGAAGGGGACAGTATGACGAGATGGTAAGTCGATGTTGTGCGTTTGCTACTGGGTCGCCCCATTCTTCCCTATCCTCCAAAGTTAGAGGCAGGCTGGGATCCTCCATCGCTCCCAACACATCCAGGAAAGGAGCCTGAACACAGGAGAAGAGGGGTCTTTGGATGCGTGTGTTTGTTCCTACACGTGTAATGAGTGAGGAGACAGTCCTTCACTTCATATTTAACTCTTACATATTGGCAAATGCTTGCTTATTAAAGTTCCCCCATGGAACACATAGAGTCCCTTATATTCTTAAATAGAATAACACAAAGGGTTACACACACTCATTCTTCGGTGACTCGGGACACCTTACCTGCAGCGCGACAGCCCGCATCATGTGTGGGTGTCTGTTGCACAGCGCCCCCACTGGCACGGCACCAGCACTGCAGGCTGCGAGCGCAGTGAGTGAAGGAGATGAGACTCCCGAAGAGAAGAGGTGATGGAGACAGGCCCGGAGGTCCTCCACGCCTCGCTGCTTCCCCTCTACGCGAGCTTGCCGTTGCCAGAACAGGCCGCGCTCGCTTCCACCCCTACAAGGTGAAAGTGACGAAGGCTCACTCAAGCACAGGTATTCAAATACCCGATTTAATTAACCCTAAAAGACATTTTGCCGGAATTTTCCGAAACACAGGTATTACTCACATAGAGCATTACACTCTCATCCCCAAATAACCCGCTGAGCCAGTCAGAAATGGAATACATTACCTAATGTGGCAGTAGGCCAGAGTCCAGCCCTGCTCCAGCAGCAGCCTTTTCTCTGGGCTGAACTCCATGTTGAGATCTCTGCCATAAGCTCCGTAGACATGGACCAGGAGTGGCGCCTGACGCAAACGCTCCACAGGTTTTGAATGAAACAGTGTGATCGGCACCATGGTCCCATCCTGCAGAGGAGAGGCAGAGAGACTGGTCTGGGGACTGTCAGGAGCAGATGACGTTGAAACAGGTCATCACCTCCATATGTTGGCTTTTACTTTACTTGTGAGGTCTTATTTTGGTGACTAAAAGAGGTTCGTCAGCGGATATGTGAGCCTCGAGACAAAATGCTCAGTCTTATACAAGTGTTCTCACTTGGTGGCAGGCCTCTAAGTGTGTGGGGGTATAATTGCCCTGGGTCTCCAGGGAGGTCCCATCTCCGCTGCCTGATGAAAGTAGCCCGTCCTCAGGGTACAGACAGTAGGACACGGGCAGGTGGACAGGAGATGAAATGAAGAACTCGAACACACTGCGTTGGTCGGCCACACCTGGTTTCTTGGTGTGGATGGCACAGGCCCAGGAGGGGAGCTTGAGGAGATAGAAATTAAAGGGTGTTAGACATCAATACACGAAGGAGAGATTTGTACATTTGACCAATTGTATATTTTATGTATCGTCTTAATCAGTAAGTTACTGTGAGGTATCTGCACTGGCTGTAAAAAGAAGAAGAAAGCAAAAACAAAGAGAAAGGAATATTGTAAAGATGCAAGTTAGACTGAGGCCAAGACCGCCAGGGAGGAGGAAAGTAGAGTTTTGGCGGGTCAAACCTGTACAGTGTACGCCTCCTTGTGACGGGTCAGCGGGACCACGACCAGGATGAGTTCACCGGCTGGTGTTCTGGCAACTAACACACAGTGGTCGCCGACCACATCCATGTCTTTGATGGCAGTGCCAGGGTCAGGGGCGAACAAAGGCTCCCAAGAGACCATGTGGGGCTCCGAGGGGGGAGCCTGTACCACCTAGGGGGGGGGTTTCCACATTTTACAATGAAAACATAAAATATTAATCACCATTTCATTTTGCTTCCCTACACCAGACTCAAGTTTATAATAGAAACCAATTCTCTTCAGTCAAAACAGTACACAGCATTCAGAAACCTTTTTTATATATTGTAAATTCTGAAACCCAAGTTACCGTTGTATTTTTGTGAAATGTATGCGACCTCCAAACAGTGCGAGTCAGACTGTGTAGACTCTACCTGATATTCTTGTCCAGGCCCTGTATTAGTCAGTATAATCAGACCCTTCCTCCAGTGCTCCACGTGGTACAGGAGGTCCAGCTGGCGACGCTGAACCAGGAAAGGCTCTAAATGTGACGTCGTTGTGTCGACTAGCAGCACCTCTGAACTGGTCCTGCTGCTGCAGTTGATGCTGAGCATCCGTCTGTCTCTTGACAGGGAAACCTCCACAAACACACTGGAGAGAAGGCAGCGGAAACAATTAGAGACGATGTGGTGAGCAGAGCTGGCTTGGATGCAACCGTACTTACACTTACTCAGGATGCGATTCCTCATACACAGAAGTGCTCCTGCTTCCACTGGCGGTCAGGTCCAGCCGAGAGACCCTGCTGCAGCGCAGACCCTCCAGAGTCGTGTAGAACAGGACCTCATCTGTGGCCCACTCTTCACATATGCCGACGCAAATATAGAAACAACAGGGTCATTCAATTGTATTTAGTCACACTTTTAACTTGAGCGCAAACTATTTAAAAACGTACCAAAGCTCAAGACTTCATCCAGTGTGAGTACGACGTGCGGGGGATCCAGAGGTGGAGAATTTCCCTTTCCAAGTCTCACAACCACACACCTGGATTGTCACAAGACACTCGTCCACTTATTCATTCATAACCGTTTAAAAAAAATGAGCCAGTTACTTTGTGTGTTTAATGTACCTAAGCTTTTCTTTGTGAGTAGCTTTTAGTGTTGCAGCAAGATGTTTTTCCAGCGGGGACAGACGTATTCTCTGGACAGTCCACTGAATCCTCTCTCCATTGTCGAGTACCGTCTTCTCCTCCTGTCCAGAGACTTGCCTGAAACTAAGCACTTGCTCCGGCACCGGCTGACCTGCCAGCGGGGAGAGGAAACTGAGCCAATCCTAAAAGTTGCAATGACGCTATTCCTAATAATGAAACGCAAAAAAATACTGCAGATGCAACGGCAGTATAAAGTTATAGAAGATAAAAGGGTACTGCGCTTTTGGAATTGTTTGCCCCCTGTCCTCTTTAAAATTCTTTTACAATTTAATCTTTAGAATCTTAATTCCTAGGAATCTAGCTGTATGAAATGTCGACATCAGCAGCTACATTCGTGCTTTCTGCTCACTCTGTCTTTGGTCCATCCTGTAGATGCCATCGCTCCGGATGGAATACTCATGGTGATGTCCACGGACCTGTGCCAAGAGAGTTCACAGGGGCACCAAAAGGCTGAATGTTTCGTGCCCTACATGCTGAGGTTGTTGCTGAAAATCATCACCAATCGGTTGAGAGCGGAAGCAGGAGGCCGTTCTTACGGATGAGTGATCGGGTGCGTGGGAGAACCTGCGGTACGCTGCCTTCAGTCTCCGGTTGAAGTACTTCTGCAAATCTTTGTACTTTTCAAGTCCAGAGCTCGGATGATCAATGGAGGAGTTTGAAGTGTCCTGAAATAAAACAACATTAGAATTTATGGAGTCACTTTTTTTTTCTAACACTAACTTACAAATTGCAAGGGCCGTTACTAAGTCACTGAAAGTCTAAATAGGAAGAGTGCAGCACTAAGCGAACTGGTGACATTTCTCTTTTTTAGACACGATTTCTAAGTGTAAACTAATGCAGCCCAGTGTTGGATTAATTGATTAGAATCCAATCCAATTGATTTCTTCCCTAGGCGAACAGGTCTTGAGTCAGTTTGTAAGGTTTAGATTTATAGTGTGTAACACACTGCATTATTAATTCCCTGCAGCTTATTTCCGTGTGAGCATTGAGCCACATCCAAAGGTGCTGGATTGCAGCCCTGTGCCCTCAGTACAACACTGGGTTTGTCAGCCTGAGAAAAAGACACCGTTTTTGCATAATGCATGTATCAGTTACCGGAGGTGAACGGCCGCCGGTAATGTAACACAGGAGCAGCGTGCGTAACGTTAACTGAACACCCTTACCGAGGTGCGGCGGCGCTGCGCGGACAGGCGGAGACACGTTATCCGCTTGCATGCGGCGAGCTCCCGAAACCCCGAACGAGGGGTGGAGAGGAGACGAGCCGGTGAACACAGCAGAGAGGAGCGAATGAACATCACGGCGATTCCAACTAACGTCAATCAGCTGCGCACATGCTAGCTGCGCTCATGTGGGTTTAAGAAGCTAACTGTCACTGCCCGGTGGGGTAATATCGGTCACTGCCACGGTAGTAACCGTTTACACGTTTCATATACAAAATAGGCCCTGTATTTTAATCTGGGATATTCATCAGACCAGCAGTTGTAGGTTAACCGTTGACAGCATTCTATTCACGTGCATGATTTCCTAAACAATGCCCACTGTGGATGACGCAGCGAGCCAGTGAAGACTAAAGTAGTCGAATTCAGATATTGGCAGCCGGCAGTTTGTATCCAACCATCGGGAATTAAAGTTTCGACATTCCATTGCTATGTCTCGATCTCCAAAAGTGTACGGAAGTAGCATGTTTCCATTGTGGGTGTAACAGGTGATTACAGTGAAGCATATCTGCGAACGTTTCAGCGTTTGGAGTTGTTTTGAGAAAAAAGAACCCTTATTTTTATACAACCGCATTTCTACCGATAACTGTGACAACCGTTCAGCCAGTAAACTAGTTTACAGATTTCCCCCCTGCACATACATTCGAAGATAAAATGGAGAGGGACTCAACCGGTACTGCAGAAAAGACCGAGCCGGCTTCGCCTTTGGGGAAAAATATGAATCAAGACACCTGCGCAGCTAATTCCAACTGCGCCCTGGATGAGACGTGCGGTACTACCGATGTCGCAAAGGCCAGGTGGACTCTCCTCAGACAGGTATTGTCGAAGGGAATCCCGAACCTCTTGTGTTTTCAGGCTGTTTGGGCGTGCGTGCGTGTTTTCCAAATGTGTTGCGTGTTTAAACACAAAATGCGTCGTTTTCATTATTTATGTCAGAATCTTTATTCCTCTTTACTGTGGGATAACGAGGGTGATTGTGAGGACTGTCTTTCTGATACATGGCGTCTTTCCTCCTTGATTTTGTCACTAAACTTTAAAATACATGTGTTCTTTATAGTATTTAGTGGACTAACGTTACATTTTCCATCCAAACCCAAGATGTGGATGTGGAATATGGGCACGGCCATGTAACGTGTTTCAGTCTGTTAGGTTTCATATAAGAAGCAGTTTTGGTATTCAGCAACACTGGTTCATTATTGTGCTTTGGTATTTTAACTTGAATCCTTACCCTCTATAGTTTAATCAATGAGTCATTTTATATCAATACATTCTAGCTCTACTGTTTCTTTATCAATAGGGAGAATCTCTCTCTCTCTCTCTCTCTCTCTCTCTCTCTCTCAGCCATACATGTACAAGATCCCTGGACACAGAAGGGCTTCTGCTTTCTCCCGTAGATGGGCATTGCACAGACATTACACTCAGGCGACAGGAAAAGCTCACTCCAATGGGGCCATGTTGCATTCTGCATTTCTTCCTCTTGGCGCAGTAATGTCCTCTGTGTTTGGACCTCACCACACTACATGGATAGGTTATATAGATAGGTGGATCAATGCTGCAGAAAGACCTTAAAGATATAATGTTATGAGTTCTGTTTTTTTCTGGATCTTTATTTACAGGTTATGATTCATATTTTATTCTCAAAATTATCTTTAAAGTAGCCTACATTTAACTTTCATTCAATTCTTCTGAGGAAAACATGACTTATGACTTGCTATCCATCGTCATGATGAACGAGAAATGAAGAACAAGTAAAATATGTCCATTTCTCGTCACGTTCTTCCCAGAGGACCTCTTGTCTGTTGAAATAAAACTGCACCCTGTCAAAAAAAGCAAAACACAAGCCCATGAGCTCTTTTGTTGAAACTGAAATCCTTTCCTCCTTTTCGTTTCACCCCTCACTGTCACAGGTGTTGCGTCAGAAGCAGGCGGACACTCCGGAGGTCAAACAGGTGTCTGTCCGCAGGTTCGCAACATTTGACCTTTTCAGCAGAAAAAGGCTTCTGACACAAGACTCCAGCGATAACTCCGATGACCAGTGGGTGGAGTACAGAAGTGTCTACTTTCCCGAATACAGCTCCTTGCTCAGGTACACACACTTGAATGGATGCACATAAGGCACAAAGAGCTGTGTGATGATACCACTTCAGACGAGTTGGGTAAAAGTCAGGATTGAACTCCGGTTTAGGTCATTCAGCTTTTATCATCAAGGCTAAAAGAGCAGATGCTGAAAACGTCAGCTAATGGCATCTCAAATATTTGGTTTGTTTTTAATATGATATACAATGTAACACATGCTGTGAAATTAATTCACCAAAAAGTCAGTCAAGTCATCTATTTGGTAGATTTCCTTTCAAACGAGGCCAAGATTCTTTGTCTTGTTTTCCTGTCCGTAAGAACTCACAAGTACGATATCGTATTCTCCCGTGCTGCTTTGTAACCCTCTTCTTTGGGGTCTCTTAGGGATAACCTTGGGCCCATCCGAGTCAATGAAGTGCTCAACAGCTTTGACAACACCGGTAATGTCTGTAAGTAAATCCTTTATCTTACTACTTGAAGGCCCGGTCTTTGTAACATGTCATTGTGATAATGTCGGGCTGATTCGCGTTACCTATCCTACTCACAGGATTGTATCCCATTCTGAGAGAGACACACACTTTGTATGCTCCCAGTTCTCTGATGGTTTTTAAGGGGACTGTGTCACTTTTGTGGCTTCTCAAGCATTTTACGATGTAATCATTCCTTGATGTCTAAATTCCTCTTATTGCTTCATTCGACAGTGACGAGGATTTAATATACATTTGAGATAAATTATTTGGAACCCCTCATATCTCATCAAGTCTCATTGTGAGGATTATTTCAACGTGCATTCCTGCTGTTTACATGAACGGGACCATAAATGTCAGCAAGAGTGACTTCGTAGTTATTATAAACCTCCTTCTGTCCAGGTCCATCTTCACAGGCATGTGATGTTATGACAAAAGTCGTGGGTTAGCGTTGACCAGCCAGATGGCGTCACAGGAGTCAGGGTCAGAGGTGAAGGTCACTGCTAGGGGCTCCACTTCATTAACCACTGGGATCAGACTGTGTAAGTCACGACATAGGTCGCTGGCTGCTTTCATTCCAACCTGCTGGAATAATTCCTTTTATCTTCAAGGAAACAATGGGATCAATACTTTTTCTTTGGAGAGAAAAAAAGTGGCGAGGTCATAGTGTTGTCGCCTCGCGGCACTCGAGCTCCCTTCACCGTGCTGTGTCTGGTTGCCAAATCCTATTCTTCATTCTCTTCCTTTTCTTGTGTCTATAAATCCAAAACTAATAGAAGGATCTCTTCCCTCATTTCTCTTCCCTCTCAGCAGACATTTTCCTGACTCCTAGCAGTAACCCCCCCATCTTGCTTTATCAATCTACCCCTCTTACCCTTTCTCCTCTTTCTTTCTTTCTTCCACCCCCTCCATCCCTCTCTCCTCCCAGCTGGAGTCGTGCTTGGCCAGATGGGTAACTGAGTTCCTGACTTGCCCGGTGGATTAGCACAGCCGGAGATGAGAGCATAAAAGGTGGGGCGAGGAGAAAAGGGGGAGATGGTGGGTGGGCATGCCAGAGGTGGTGTGTGTGTGTGTGTGTGTGTGTGTGTGTGTGTGTGTGTGTGTGTGTGTGTGTGTGTGTGTGTGTGTGTGTGTGTGTGTGTGTGTGTGTGTGTGTGTGTGTGTGTGTGTGTGTGTGTGTGTGTCAGGAGTAGAGAGCCACTAGCAACGGGACCTCGTTCCTCAAACAATGAGCCAGCCATCTCCCTCCTGTTCTCCATCCCATGTTTGGGAGTAGTAATGCGTGAGATCAATTAGGATTGGTTGAGAGGAGGCTCTGAAAGGCCTGGAGGTGACCCTGTCAGAGCTCTGGGGTATATTTTTGGGCATGGAGTCGAAAAGAAACCCCTCTAAATACACAAACAGATACACACCTGCTTATATCTGCCCGTCACAAAGGTTTACAGCCGTGCACTTATGCCCGCAAAAATCCAACACAGCCTCGCTAATAACCACATATTCCCGTCGTCGCCCACCATCACATCCTCTCCACCGTTGCTGCTGTCTTGTTAATCCCCCACCCCTGAGGTGTGGACAAGCCCAAATCCTAGGGGTCCTTGTCCTCCTGAATAGCGGGCTAAAAAGCCTGGCCGGATTAGCCCACCGCCTCCAAAATGTGTGGACTCAGCTTAAAACAGCCACCTCCTCTCAGCATGACCCTCTCTCTCGGCCATTGTGTCGCTCCCACCGCTGTGCACGTATGTGAACAATATGCTGTTTCTTGAGGTGACGATAAGCTGGAGTCAATGGTTTCATTTCAGGAGCAGAGGAGCTGACAAGGAGTCTGAATGAAGGTGTTTTAGGAAATGGAGAGTGTATCGTGTAGAGATGACGTCACATGAGTGGGGGACTCGGACAACATATAGTTTTAGTATATGTGGGATATAGGGCCTCTTTGCCTGAATCTAATGAGCATTTTCATGAGAGCTTCATGCCCAAAGGAAACCATATAGTTTCATGGAGAAGGTGTGTTTATTATAAGCGGATTACGAGCAATCCAATTGGGCCAGGTAGGGTTTTGTTATACTGGTACGGCTGATTTTTGGATTGGTCCACCACTTAGGACCCGTGAAGATACTGACCTCACACTCACCTGCGTTTTATACAAATCTCCCCTTCTCGTGGCCATTCAAAAGACGTGTAACGTCAGCTGTATTTGTAACTCGTTATATGTCATCAGTGCGTAATCGGGCCGATTCCAGGCCGGTCTTGATCACTTTGAACTATTTAAAGTCTGAACTTCTGACCCTCTTGGTTCTCCAGCTGACAGCGGGGGCTTGTAATTGTAAGGGAGCTTTGTACGGCGGTTGCTGGGGTTTTAGGGGTGCTTGTTTCCTGCCAGGGATCAGGATTTAAGGACACAATGCGGGCCCTTGGGGTTGGGTGACTAAGAATGCCTCAGAGGAGGTGTGTGCATGTGTTTGAGAGGGTTTAGGAAGAGCTTGTTGACATTGCACAACGTCTTGGTAAAGGGGCTTGTTGGGTTGTGGGGTTACTAGATTGGTTCATGTTGCAGGCAAAGGTCACAGTGACACACACACACAGAAAAACAGGCGAAAATGGAAGCCACAGTAGCAGCACAGAAGTTCCTGTGTGTGTGTGTGTGTGTGTGTGTGTGTGTGTGTGCGTGCATCTTTGTGTGGTTAATCAAGGGCCAGGCATCCTAATGAAGCCTAATAGAGCCTTCGTCACTACGGCTGTCACTGTCTGAATGGCTACTAGCCTTTCAGCCTCTCAGTCATCTCTATTATCTCCCACAGACTTCACCTATCACCCCTACTGGCAAGTACTATAAGCCATGAATACTTGAGTGTTATAAGTGGGAGCAGTGGGGGGGGGGGCTAGCTGTGTGCATCTCTGGTGTTGGCTGTGTTATGGGGCCGTTGAGGACAGAGAGGATAAATGTCGCCATAGTTATCGCACCCTACCAAATAAACCAGGCATCACTGTTTACGACGCCTCTGGTTTCTCGTCACTTTCTTTTGACAGGTGTGTGTGTGTGTGTGTGTGTGTGTGTGTTTTGTGCATCCAGTGGTTCTGTCACTGTCATACATGTGTGTTTAATTGGTTGGATGAGTGTCTCAGCATTCGTAGCAACTGCGTATGTGCATGCATGTGTGTGTGTGTGTGTGTGCGCGCTGTAATAGGTGCCCCCCGTAGCCTCCCCTTGTGCCAACCCTTTAGCAGGACCCTGTTTGCATAATTATGCTAATTCATTGTGCCATAGTGCTAATTAGACCTTGTTAGACAATAGAGCTGGACTGGGAGCTGGCAGGCACACGTACACATACGCGCGCTCCCTCCGACTGTTGTGTCAGTGACCAGGTTTGTGGCACCCCCTCTGCCTCGCCTATAACGTCCTCTCCCGTGGAAATAGCGCTGTGCTCGTGTGCTCTGGACTGAGCTCAGGTGTCTCTTACAATTCCGATTGTAACTAATGGAACAGAAATCGATGTGAAACAAGAATGTGGCAAAAGCCTCTCCACCAAAAAACAATTGGTCCATTCTGTCATTGTTTTATCGGTCAGAGGCTACAGCTGTTTTTTAGAATATCTTTCTTAAAAGTTGTGTTGTCATTGGGACAATAATCACTAACAAAGACTTTACTTCTGTTTGTGCAGGAGATGTGATTATGAGTCCGGTCAGAGCCGTACTTAGACTTTGGGTTAGCGCAATGCTGTTTTTGCTATATTTGTTTTTTGTTCACGTTATTTAGAAACGGACAATCTTACAGACTGAAATGCTGCATAACTGTTGCTTAAGTTAGTTTAAACACAGAGAAAGTCACTCAGTGGAATTGGCTTGTATGCACGTGTGCGTGTGTGTGTGTGTGTGTGTGTGTGTGTCACTTTGTGGAGCAGGCGTGGGGGTTGAAGGTAGTGTTAGCAAGACTTGTGTGGCTTCAGGGCACATTGAAAGAGTTGCCGGTTGACTTAATTGAAAGTAATTGATTTTTTGCCTCCGTAGCCTTGTCTGCTCCATCCGTTCACCGGAGGAAACAAGAAGCAGGGACTTGCCTGAAGTACTGTTGGGTGTTGGGAGCATCCTGACACTCAAGGAGTAAACAGCCCGCCGTGCTATATCCGAACACGCTGAGGCTAATGTGCAGATGCAGACGTAAATGTTTATGTGCGTGCAATTTCATACCCTGATATTCTCCGCATTAAACCACTGTGACTTTTATCCTAATAGAGATTGAAGCTGAGCTGCGTGGTTTAACTTTGCTCAGGCAGTCCTTTCTTATTATAGCCAGTAGTTGATTAGGTGAATTTGTGCATGACTGAATGCGTGTGCGTGTGTGTCCAGATGCGTGTGCACGTTTTCACTATTACTAGTAAGCGGTGGGGATTAAGTTCAGGAAATGAGTAGAGCGTTAAAGGCTGCTCCCCTGCCCAGTGCTCCTGCATTGTCACCGCTGCTAATACTCAGCTAATTACAAGGACATACTTTAACAGCGAGCTCAGCCCGTAACCGTCACGTCTCTCCCTTCCTTTCTTAGGTTACCCCCTCGCCCTAGAATTAGGGGATGGAATGAAAGAGTGAAAGAAAAGAGAAAGAGTAATAACAGGTCTCCCCGCGCCCCCCAAAAGCTTACCCTCCCTCTGGACGGATACAATTATTGGATTTTTCACCATTTAAGTCACCCGACCCCTACGTGCCCCTCCTGGTAATGTCCCCTATGGGGCCTACGCTCAGCATACACCGGCCCCTCCAGCCATGTAACACACACACACACACACACACACAAAGGAAGAGTGAGTGAGTTGAAACATCGAGTGGACCATATCACATTAATAATAATATACTCTCGTTGTGTTGCTTTTGAAGCTTTTATTCATGCAACTGGCTTTTTTAAGTAAGTGTGAAACATCCAACAGCACAATGAAAGAGGTGCTATTTTCTTTTTAAACCACAAAAACCTTCTGGTGAGAAAAAAAATCCCA